CTGAAAACCCCTGCAGTCAGAGCTGGGCCTGGGTGTTCTTCTGCTGATGGCAAAGGTCCTTCCCTCTCCTCCTCACCGTAACCACGCAGCTCATTTCTCCCCAGGTGAGTTTGCCTGGGTCAGGGGCGTTTTCCAAGGCCAAGCTGGGGAAGGGCTTGAATGAAGGTGGGTCTGTTAAGGCCTTGACTTGAGAAGATCAACAAGCGAAAACTCTGCCACCTTATCCCACGCCATGCTCCGCACTATCTTAGGCTGTTCTGTGAAGTTTCTGCACACCTTTACCACTACAGTCGGGGAGGCTAACTTCCCAGGACCCGACCTGGAGCATCTAAGCACGAAGGTATCACAGGAGCTTTTCAACGTATCTGTCTGTCTGTGCAACAAAATGCCAAGGGGCCTGAACATACTTCGGCAGGACTCGGTTCTTTTTAAAAATTTTGTTTAAGAGAGAGAAAGAGCATGAGTGGGGGAGAAGCAGAGGGAGAGAGGTACGGGGGAGGGAGACAGAGAGAATCTTAAGCAGGCTTCGTGCTGGGTGTGGATCCTGGCTCGGGGCTTGATCCCATAACCCTGGGGTCATGACCTGAGCCAAAATCAAGAGTCGGACACTCAACTGACTGAGCCACCCGGGAGCCCTGAGACTCAGTTCTTGTATTTCTACTAGCACGGCCAACAATTTAAGGTATGTTAAAGAGTTCTTGTAGATCATTCCCCAAAATCAAGTCCTGTGAATGGCACAACCGTTTCAGCAGTGGGCTTTCCTCTCTGAGTAACACTTTCCTAGGGTTCACAAACTGGTCTCTATGGAGACCAGATGGACGAATGATTTACCTTAGCATGATACATTGGTAGAGTCCGATTTTTCCAGCTCTAGTCATAGTTATTTCAGAAATCCAGCAATGGAAATAGCCTTCTTGCTGAGACGTATTTCCAATTAGGTACAAATATTATCATTATGGGAACGATTAACCCTGGATCTATCAATGGTTTTGCTTCACCATGGCATTGAAAGAACTCAGTCCAGTGGAAAAATGATTTCATTTGCAGTTTGAGTTAAGATGAGCGGGAAAACAAACAAACAAACAAACAAACAAACATGTGGCTTCCCTGGGAGTGACAGGTGTCCTGTGGATAGAGCTTGAGCCCACAATAATTATTTCCACACATCTTACCATAAAGATTCTTAGTTTACTTCTCAAGTGCTCCACTGAAACAACTGAGTGTAAAAACTCATTTTTATAGCAGAGGTAAGAAATCAGAGTGAGATCAACTTGCCTGGAATCACAGGGTCAGTTTCGCAGATGGCCCGACTCGTATGGAAAGCCAATTTCTGCCCTCCAGTCTAAGAACTGCGTTTCTCAGCATTAAGAAAAGAACACGAGTTATATAGAAAGCTCGTGGCTGCGATCTCCAAGGACACTGAAATAATGAAAGAGGAGTGATTTTTTTATACGACTTGGAGTCTCGAAAAAGGATACAATCATGCAGGGAGAATACAGAGGACTTAGGGTTTATGATGTGAGTTTTGAAAAGAAAAATCTGTCATTTTCTTTCTTCCGCTTTTTCCAACATATTGATTACCTTGTGTGGCTGTTATTTTGGGAGAAACGGCAGTTTTGGTTCCTTTTTTGTACCTGTCTGCAGTCGATTGTCACTCTTCCTGGAGCCTTGCTGGATGTCTCTCATGCAGGAGGAGGAGTGGAACAGCCTCTCCTGGCAGCAACTACATTTACCCAGTTCTAGGGATAATGGAACGATCCACCTAACAGCTATTGCACAATTACAGGGTGGCCCGTCTGGCCTGAAATAAACAGTGAGTTTTCATCCTGCCGTGAAATGGACTCCTGAGGGCCGATGGTTTCTTGACAGAACTGTACCCCAGTTCTTGTGGGTTCCAGAGAAACGCTGAAGTGCGTCCAAGTAAGGCACCGTCCACCAAGGTATAGCCTTGCATCACTGGAATCGGGCCGGAAATCCCAGGGTCATTCCCGAGAATCAGTTACCAAATTGAGATTTGTGGGCTGGTAAAGTCCATTTTGTGCATTTCTGTAACTTTAGGAAGATCCACTTGGTTCCTGGTCCCGAATAAAAGCCCATTTTGGGGCGCCTGGGTGGCTCAATTGGTTGAGCATCCGACTCTTCAGGTCACGATCTCACAGTCTGTGAGTTCGATCCCCATGTCTGACTCTGAATTGACAGTGTGGAGGCTGCTTGGGATTCTCTCTCTCCGTCTCCCTCTGCCGCTTCCTTCTTGCACGCACATATGTGTGCTCTGTCTGTCTCTCTCAAAATAAATAAGCTTAAAAAGAAAAGAAAAGAAAAGAAAAGCCTGGCTTAGCTGTGTGCACAGGGACCAGGCAGAGCGGTGTGCTTTCCTCGAAGGAAGAGCACAGATTCCCTACCTGCCTAGTTTTCTTTTCATGAATTGTATATTGATTTATATTTTAATGAAACTTTGGCCGGTCTGCTAAATGCGAGTTTCTCCGAGACAAGATGTTAATCTGTATTTAATGCATGTATCATAAGGTTAAATCTGGCATGAAAGGCAATGGAGATCACCACTGTTCTTGGTTCAGTGCTTTGTGGGAAAGAGCAGGAGAACAAATCTAATTTTACAAGGAAATTGCTGAAAGAATTGATGTAATAGAATGGATATAATAGAGCAAGGTATTTAAAATTTGCATGCTCAGATGGGTAATAAGCACTTAGAAATTATCTCTGGCCACTGAAAAAGGACCATTTGTTACAAAGACACCACTGTTTTTTGATAGCCGTGAGCCAGGTTATTAACTTTGCCTTTTTTCAATTTGATTTTTTACTCTTAAGGTGACTTTACCCCAAGCATATTTTATTTTATTTTGAATGATTCAAACAAAGCGTATGTGTGCCTGCATGCATTTGAGCATACACGCGTTCTCTCTGCCTTACATATGATTTCATCGGAATTTAATCACGTGTGTGTTTATTTAGGGGAAAATAAATGCAAATATATCATCTTATTATAAATACAATTAATTGGAAAGGGAGCGCGCTGCCATCCTTGGAATTTCTTTTTGCGTTTTGATTTTTCTTTCATGTTTATTTTTGAGAGACCGAGACAGAAGGCAAGCGGAGGGGGGGCGGGGGGGTGGTGCAGAGAGAGAGGGAGACAGAATCCGAAGCAGACTCCAGGCTCCGAGCTGTCAGCGCAGAGCCCGACGCGGGGCTTGGACCCACGCACCGTGAGATCATGACCTGAGCCGAAGTCGGACGCTTAATCAACTGAGCCACGCGGATGCCCCTCTTTTTACATTTTAAAATGTGTGGGTTTTTTGTTGTTGTTGAAGGGAAAGGAGGAGCTGAAAGTTATTTCCAAATTACTTAAAACTGCTGCTGAGTTCTGATTCCTGATCCAGAGAAGTTCTACATGTTTGGCTTGCTAGCTGTGTGCCTTAAGCAGGACAGCGTCACATCGAAAAAAGCGGGGAGCAAACCTGTGCTCAGGCTTAGGGGGTGGCTGTGCTCCCCCATCGTTGTGCCCCCCCGCCCCCCGCAAACAACCTCCTTGCTGCAGTGATCTTGGTCCTCAACAAGCATCAGGGTAACCCAGGAGCCTGGTGAGCCTTCAGGATTACAGGGTGATGCGTAGTGAAAGAAGACGGTGACCCAACGTTCTGATGGCCCAGACACAACACGAGCTGGCCCGTGCTGAGGGGGCTGACCTTGGAGTTTTCCGGGCCGATAGAAAAGCGAGAGGGATCAGGCTGATTAAGTAAGACAGACAACTGAATATCTACTGTTCCCTCCGAGCAGTATTTGGGATGTAAAAGAACGTTTTCAGGCAGATGTGCTGTTTTAAAATAGGAAGGGCAAATCAAATATCAAGAAATACAATAAATTCATTTCTAACTGAGAGACCTCTCGATGGTTAATGCACAAAAGGATGTTTGGGTCATGCCCCCAACCCCCACCACCGAAGTTCACCTATAAGATAGCTTCTTAATAACGATATCCCATTTCCGAGAACAATCTTAGTTGATAATAAAGGAATTTTTATGAATTTAGTCGGTGACCCTGACATTTTACACTAACAAGGGAGCAGAATATAGTGGTTTTATTAGTGGACGAATCTTTCTTGAAGCTCTGAGGTTAGAATTGTCTTTGAGGGTTAGAAGTTTCTGGATACTGAGAGTCCTACATATAGGGTCCCGGGTCACAGCCTGCCCCCAAGGGAGGCATTTGAAAAAGAAAAATGCCAAGCTGCCTGGGTTTCTCACAAAAGGGAACACGGTGACGTCAGGGATACCTCGTGCCGTGAATTTTAAGGGTTGACCAGTTTACCTGGGCAGGTGGGGGGCGTATTTCAGAAACTGGGGAGAGCTCGGAAGATGATTGAGGAGAGGAGATAGACGGAAGGAGGGCCGGATGCAGTGTTCAGGCTGGTGGGCGTGGCCTCGGGGCCGGAAGCTGGTGCTGAGCCTCGGTGGTGACCTGTGGCCTCTGGTTTGGAGGTTGCCAGGGATGCCGGCCCCGGCCCTTTGCAGCCATGAGATGCTCACTCTTTGGAGTAAAGAAATCGGGGAGGACGGGTTTGCCGTCCAGGCCGTCTCAAAAACAAGCAGCATCCGTTATCAGCTATGGAAAGCTGGTTTTAACGTGGGGGACCATTCAAGTGGGGTACAGAGACGCAGTCCTGCTTAGGAGGATAAGCCCCGTGGAGGGCCCCACAGGGTGCAGGGGGCAGAGTCTGACTGGAAAGTTCTAGCAACCTAGGTGGCACAATTGGCCTCTTTCTAAGTGTCTCTGAGGAAGAGGCAACATTGTGGTGTGTCACAGATTGCATTGTGTTCCCTCCGAATTCAGATGCTGGATTCCTGAGCCTCATTACCCTAGAATGTGACCATCTTTGGAAATAGGGTCCTGGCAGATGTAATCGGTTGAGATGAGGTCACACTGCACACACTGCAGTGGGGGGGGGGGGGGGGGGAGGGGCGGGTCTCTCTGAGCCAATATGATTGGTGTCCTTGTACAGAGGACAAACTTGGACACAGACACATGTCTGCAGACAGAGATGGGGGTGAAGCTTCCGCAAGCCAAGGGACACCAAAGATTGCCAGGAAACCACCAGAGGCTGGGAGAGAGGTATGGACCGGATGTCCCTCGCGGCCACCGAGGGAGCCAGCCTGCTCTCAAATCTGGTAAAGTTTGACCAAGCGCTATTTTGAATTTCGCAAGCTTAGATGTGTGTCTTTAGGCGTAGTGGATGTCCGATTTAAAATCTCTGTGCACGTCCATTGTTTCTTGGTGGCAAATTCAACTTGTGTTTTGAGTAGTTAATTGTAGATTTGTCCGTATTTCAGCATCAAGTTTTGCTTTCAATGGCTCTTCCCAGTGAAAGTACACAACAGCCGTTTTTCAAGAGGCTGCCAGGGCGTGTCATTCGATGTCGCCAGAGGAACCCCCCAACACAGATCTCATGAGACAGTGCACCCAGGCAGAGTGGGCCACGGCGGGCCTCCTCACTGCGGTCAGAAATCTCAAAATTGAAAATTCCCAGTACTTCTTCAGGTCAGTGTAAGCCGGTTTGGCAAACAGCCCCTTTTCTGTGAAACGTTAATGTCGACTCTTAGATGTGGTTGTTAACACGCTAAATATAGGCTCCTTAATATTCATGCACATCTATAACAACAGGGTCCCCCTTTGTCCGTGAAAAAACCTGAGATCTTTTTCTCTTTTATGGGAAGGAGGAGGAGGAGGAGGAGGAAGGGGAGGAGGAGGAGGACGGGGAGGAGGAGGAGGAGGAGGAGGAGGGGAGGCAATCTGAGGGTTTTGCGTTTGGAGATGAAGGAGGATAGGGAAGCCGGAGAGTAATCTGGAGGGATTCAAGTCCTCCTTTGGTGAGGTTTGAAAGCAGCTGAAATCAAAGAGGGCACCGTCATTACTTGTCCTGACACAGGATCAGATAAAGCCAGAACCTACCCCCTGCTTGCAGGCACCTTGCTGAAAGTCCCGAAGGTCAGTAGGGGATAATCAGGAAACGTGTTGGGGGAGCCAGCCAGTTAACTGCAGAGACTGTGATTTTGATCTGAGAAGAGAGAGGAAGGCGGAAGAGGTAGGAGGTTACAATCACTCTGGTTCCCCAAGTGTTCCTTAGACCCAGCATAAGATAAGGATGCACCGAAGACTGAAGAAATGAGCCTCCTCTATCGTTCTGTGAAATAGAAAGTGACAGAGATCTGGATGGCGACGTCTTGCCAAAGGGAAAGTGCGAACTTTGTTCTTTTTTTTTTTGCTGACGGTGCTGTTGTATTAATAGTAACCTAGTCATCACGGTGACAGGTTCCTCCTAAAATATCTGTGGGGAAACATCTGGAGCAGGTGGAGCCGTCACCAGGGTACCTTTCGTCGGGTAAATGAGCAAAATTGTTATGAAGGAATTTGTCTTCATTCAGGCTGCTGTAACGAAATCCTACAGACTGGGGCTTGGAAACAACAGGAATTTAATTCTCGCAGTTCTGGGGGCTGGAAGCCTGAGGTCTAGGTGCTGGCCCATCCAGCGTCTGGCGAGGACACGATTCCTGGTTCACAGAACCAGATGGTGTCTTCTCCCAGTGTCCTCACCAGGTGGGAGGGCCGAGGGAGGGAGCTCTCTGGGGTCTTTTCTAAAGGCACTGACCCCATCCTTGAGGGCTCTACCTCACTACCCAATCACCTCCCAAAGCTCCCATCTCCCAGGAACACCAATCACATTGAGGGTTAGGATTTCAACGCATGAATTCGGGGAGGATGCAAACATTCAGTCTGGAGCATACTGGAAAGACAAGATAACATATTGAAACACACGGAGGCATATCATGTTCCCCCCCTCCCCCACCTGATTGTGGGGAAGACCATAGGAAAGGAAATTTGTGGGGTGGACCCCGAAGGGGTTGTAATTCAGAGAAGCAAATAACCTTTGAGAGGCAAGGTGGTTCTGTGGATATTCTGGAAAAAGGCTTTGAACGGTAATCTGCTGCTCTGCCCAATGCTCGAAACACTGGAAAGCAGTTCGTATTCAATGAAAATAGCCGAGACGACAATCTCCAGGACTTCCTTTTCTTACAGAAATATGGTCAAGGCACAAGTTGCGAACCAGCTTTATTACTCTACGTTTAATATCCCTTATTTGTTTAGCGATTCTTTCAAAGTCCGAATGGAATGGAAGTCCAAAGTCCACCCCCGCTGCTTTTTTTTTTTTTTTTTTTTTGGTGACTCAAATCACTTTTTTCAGGAAATTGCTTGTATAGGTTTTCAAATGTTTTGTTATGAGTTTTCCAGGCCCCTCCCTAGAATGGAGCTGTTGCCCTAAAACCTGAATTTAGCTTTATATCCACTTGAGAAACTGTCTTAGCCGGGGCTCCAGGCCATCCTGCCCAATCCACGGCAACTGAAGCTTAGGGAAACTTCTGAGCTTCGCCTGCTTTTCCAGATCTTTCTCCCCACCTCCCTCCCCGCCCCCCTGCCGACAGCTGTTGCTTGTGTATCTGCAACAGGAATATCCTCTGGGTCCGATGGTCGGTTGTGCTGGGGTACAGGGAGGGTTGCAAAATCCTGACCGAGGCCCCTTAGCTCTTTGGACCCCTGGCTCACGCACCTGTTTTCCTCCTTCCCACTGACCTTCCCACCACACAAAAACCTTAAGATCAGTCATGATAACAGGATGGCAACAATACAATAATACAGTAGGTACGGTTCCTGGACAATGTATTTATTTATTTAAATAAACAAACTAACATCTGTACAGTTCTCAGACCCTTCTGTCTCTCTCTTTTTTTTTTTTTTTTTTTTGGCTGGTTATTTATATTTGACAGAGGGGGAGAGAGCGCAAGCAGGGGAGGGGAGGAGAGAGAGAGAGACAGGATCCGGAGCGGACTCTGCTCCCGCAGCAGCAAGCCCGATGTGGGGCTCGAACTCGTGAACTGTGAGATCATGACCTGAGCCGAAGCCAATGTTCAACCGACTGAGCCACCCAGGTGCCCCCTGGGTGAACAATTGATCGAAATGAAAGGACAGAGCCTGGGAGGAAGGAGAGGCTTTCCCGTGTAAACATGAGGGGCTGGAGCCCAGGGACAACCGAAAAGTCCCACGTTACTGGAGCAACAGCCCCAGGGAAGCTCAAACCGCCTGCCTGTGCGCCCGGGTGGCGGTGAGCAGAGACCCGGAGCCGATGCAAGGGGACGTTCACCATTGTGCTGGATTGTCCCCCGTGCAGGCAAGAATGTTCAGGAAAATAAAAGCCCCCGAGATGATTTCTTACATCTTCAATTACTACAGTCTTCGTAAGATTGTAGAAGCATGCCTTCTCTGACAAGGTCAAATTTATAAATTTCAGGCCTGGGAAAACTTAAGGATTTTTCTCAGCCTTTAAAAAAGATAGCAGTGGGGGGATCACGTGTCAGCGTTTGCCTTTAAAATAAAATCAAACGTATGGGTGTTGGAATCAAGATGCTGTTGGGCAGGTATGATTTAATAAATATTTTCACGGAACAGAGGGGGAAGAGGGTCGAAGACATTGCATCAAGGGACGCTGACGCCCTTGACTAGAGGGAAACTTATAATTTAGTATAATTTATTTCCAAACGTGTTCATCTTTTAAAAACACTTCTTTAAAGTTTATTTCTTTATTTTGAGAGAGACAGAGAGTGAGCGAGCAGGTAAGGTACAGAGAGAGAGGGAGAGAGAGAATCCCAAGCAGATACCATGCTGTCTGAGCAGAACCCAATGCGGGGCTTGATCTCATGACCATGAGATCACGACCTGAGCCCAAATCAGGAGTCGGATGCTTAAGTGACTGAGCCACCCAGGCGCCCCTCCCCACCCCCAGAACATTTTATTCTAAAATAATTTCAGATGGATGGAAAATTTACCAAAAAAAAGGGTAGCAGGGCTCCCATACTGCCTGTTCTTGGGGTGGTAGGATGAATCATACCTACCAGGTTATACTGCCTGGAAGCAGAGAGTGTCCGCTTGTGGGGCAGAAAGAGACCTTGCAGATGGGACCCCTCTAGGACTTTGCATGGAGGGTTATCCTGCATGATCCACATGGGTCCCTACTGGTTTTGGAAATGCCCTTATAAGAGGGAGGGCAAGGGAGATTTGGCTATAAAGAGAAGTTGACGAAAGAAGCAGGACCCTCCCTGGGTGACGTACTTTGAAGCTAGAGGAAGGGGCCATGAGCCAAGGAGAGGGCCAGGGAATCTCCCCTCCCCCTGCCGGGGCGCCCCGCCCTGCCGCCCCCTGACTTCAGCTCACCGAGACCGACCTCACACTTGTGGCCTCCAGGACCTCAAGAGAATACATTTGTGTTGTTTCAAACCACTAAAGTTGTGCTAATTGGTCACAGCTGCAATAGGAAACGAATCAACCCAGATTCACTTATTCTTAACATGTTACCCCATTTGCTTTTCTGTTCCCTCATTCTTCCCCTTATGCGTATAGACGCTTTGTTATGGGTGGTGGTGCTGTAACCCCTGCGAGTCAGGGGAGAGTAGTGACCCGGCATGTTTTCTGTAGTAAAAGGGGACAGGACAAGAAGTCAGACCAGGGCTGCTCTGGGAAGATCAGCTTGGTCCACCAACACACTTCATGATTTTCTACTGCCTTGGCCAGTGGAGACGTTGTCCTGTGCTGTCGACCTGTCCTTCCGGAAGATGCTTTCCACACCTTCTTGTGGGCTCTGCATGAACACATGCCTCTCGTTGGTCTGCACTGGGGAGTCCCTGCGTACCACCAGGACCTGGTGGCCCCTGCCATCCGGACCTTGGGTCACTGTCCCCTCTGGGTCTCCCTGGGCAAGCTAGCTCCTTTGGGCCGTGGACCCTCATGCACACCTGTCCCTGCCTGTCCACTTACCTGGCGAACTCGTATTCACCCAGCAGCCTTAGCCTGCCATCATCCCCCTGGGAAAGCCTTCTTCTGTACCCCAGTTTTCCACCACTGCCCCCACCCGCATACTAGTTTAGAGTTCTGGTGGATACGTCCACATTACCTCGTGCTTTCCCGTGTAACACGTATCATTATTATAAGGACTTAATCGTGTGTGTATGTAGCATGCTGGTGAGATTCAAGCACAAAAAACATCGCCTATCTCCTACACATCTGGGATGTTCCCAATTATGGAAAAAACAAGTCATTTGACTTCCTGCCTTTGGCCATGTGGGGGTGATGCAAATCCCTCCCAGCTTGGGTATGTGAGGGGGTGCCGGATCGCTGAATCATCTTTTCAGATTTCTTTTTCCTCTGTCTTAGCAAAGGCTGCGCTTCCCTTTGGCGTCTATAATGCCTGGCGAAGGAGGCAGGGGTTTTCATTAGGAGCCCACAGGTCTTTGGGAGGGAGGGGACTGAGCTCCCTGCGGTAGCCCCCATTTCAATGTGGGTGACGCCGGAGAGAGGGCGGAATGCCTGGACAAGCCTGCCGGGGGAGAGGAGAGACCCAGCTGGCATGATTTTGCAAAACTCGCAGCAACCATTTTGCCTGAAGCTGGAGCCACCTACGTGCCCAAGCATCTGGTCCTGGACCGGGTGCTTTG